TGTATTGAATGGGTGAACGCAATTGAAAAGGATCAATGGTGGAGCAAGAAGATAGAAAGCATATTGTTGTGGACGGGATATGAACCAAGCAAGGGTCTCGGTAAAAAGCTTCAGGGGATCACCAAACCCGTACAACCACAGTATCATGGCACGAACTTTGGACTCGGGTATGAATATACATGGCAAGAATATCAGGATTGGACACCGTCGTGGCGTGCCCCTTATTATCCACTGGAACAACCCGTACCACCTCTACACCAGACATTCCAATCAGGCTGACATGATGTGGGGATCTAAGGAAGATGAGGTTTTGGCTGGCATGGGGAAGCTATTTCTAGATGAAGAAGACATAGACTGCAGTGCAATTGTTGAGGAGGAGGAGGAGGAGGAAGACCTTACCATTCAAACCATGGAAGAAGGAGTTTTTCTCAAGAACTGGACCGCTGCACCATCCTGGGCTCGCCGAGTTCCTGGGTAGCCTGGCAATTAGCATGAATTACTTTCAAATAAGTTTGAGCATTTAAGATATTTTTTAGTATTTTGTTTTGAAATGATTACTCGAGCCATCGAATCATACTTGTTGACATTTTAAAAGTTTTATTAATGCATTATTGCTTTTTATATTTATTATTATTCTTCTACATTCTTTTCAGCATAATTATTACATATCCAGATGAACCCAAGACTGTGATATGTAATGAGATAACGCAACATAAAGACAGTGATTCAGAGGATCTGGAAGATGATATAATACCTGAGGAAATTGTCAGAGAATTAGAGAACTTTGAAAACAAACTGAAGTCTAATTTGGAGAAAACTGAGGCCGTTAACTTAGAGGATTCTGAAACGGTCAAGGAAACGCATGTAAGCATTCATCTATCACCATCAGAGAAAGAAGAGTATATCTGATGCCTAAAGGAGTATGAGGACATCTTTGCATGGTCCTACGACGACATGACTGGTTTAAGCACATCCATAGTAGCTCACAAGCTACCCACCAATCCCATGTGTCCACCGGTGAAGCAAAAGCTCAGAAAGTTCAAGCCAGATATGAGTTTGAAGATAAAAGAGGAGGTCACCAAGCAAATCAAAGTCAAGGTTCTCCGAGTGGCTGAATACCCAACCTGGTTAGCCAACATTGTGCCAGTTCCGAAGAAAGATGGAAAAGTTAGAGTATGTGTCGATTACCGAGATCTGAATAGAGCAAGTCCTAAGGATGATTTGCCTAACATACACATATTGATTAACAACTGCGCCAAGCATGAACTCCAATCCTTTGTGGATTGCTTCGCGGGATACCATCAGATTTGGATGGATGAAGAGGACGCCGAAAAGACCGCCTTTATCACACCATGTGGAATATATTGTTATAAAATAATGCCGTTTGGTTTAAAGAATGTTGGGGCCACCTACATGAGGGCCATGACGGCTATCTTCCATGACATTATACACAAAGAAATAGAGGTGTACGTGGATGATGTTATCATCACATCTTAAAGGAGTTCAGATCACATAGCAGACCTGAAAAATTTTTTGATCGGCTTTGAAAATACAATTTGAAGTTGAATCCTGCAAAATGTGCCTTCGGGGTCCCTGCTAGAAAGTTGTTAGGTTTCATCGTCAGTCGTCGGGGTATTGAATTAAACCCGTCGAAGATCAAAGCTATCCAAGACTTGCCGCTTCCAAAGAATAAGAAAGATGTGATGAGATTTCTAGGGCGCCTCAATTATATCAGTCGTTTTATAGCACAATCAATGGTGATATGTGAGCCAATCTACAAAATGTTGAGGAAAGATGCTACAACAAGCTGGACTGAAGAATGCCAGAAAGCCTTCGACAAAATCAAAGAATATTTATCCAAACTACCCGTGTTGGTCCCACCAGAACCAGGAAGACCTTTGTTGCTTTATCTGTCTGTGTTGGATGGGGCTTTTGGTTGCGTTCTAGGATAACATGATGAAACGAGAAGGAAGGAGCATGTGATATATTATCTGAGCAAGAATTCACGCCTTACGAAGCCCAGTACTCTTTGTTGGAACGCACTTGTTGTGCTTTGACATGGATAGCCCAGACGTTGAGACACTATTTCTGTGCGTACATTACATATCTCATATCAAGGATGGATTCTCTAAAATACATCATTCAGAAACCCATGCCTACGGGTAAGTTAGCAAAGTGGCAGATATTGCTGAGTGAGTTCAACATCGTCTATGTAACTCAGAAGGCAATCAAAGGGAAAGCATTGGCGGATCACTTAGCAGAAAATCCCGTAGACGGAGAATACGAACCATTGAAAATGTATTTTCCCGACGAGGAGCTGTCGTTTGTAGGAGAAGATATCACTGAGGCGTACGATGGTCGGAGGATGTTCTTCGACGGAACAACAAACTTCAAAGGAGTGGGTGTCGGAGTTGTCTTAGTATCATAAACCGGTCAACACTATCCGATATCCGCAAAACTTAGGTTTCTGTGCACCAAAAATATGGCTGAATATAAGGCTTGCATCTTGGGACTCAGGTTGGCCATTGACATAAACGTTCAGGAGTTGCTGGTAATTGGAGATTCAGATCTATTGGTGCACCAGGTTCTAGGAGAATGGGCTACGAAGAACACCAAAATATTGCCATACTTACATTGTGTACAAGAGCTGATCAAGAGGTTCGCAAAGATAGAGTTCAAACATGTTCCAAGGATTTAGAATGAGTTTGCAGATGCATTAGCCACTTTGTCTTCCATGATACAACACCCAGACAAGAATTTCATCGATCTTATCCCAATAGGAATACATAAGCAGCCAGCTTATTGTGCACATGTTGAAGAAGAGTGTCACGCCCCAACTTCGGGAAGCGCAACCGGCGCTCAACCGAGTGAACCCGGTCAAGCAAGCCTGTTGAATACTTTCTACCCAACTCACCCATGATCAATAAAAGACATGATTACCTTAATTAGACAGTAGGAAGTTCATTCACACAATATTAAATCATTTCATTAGTTACTCCACTATCAAGTCCCAAAATACACATATTCTTATAGTTTGAGTGGAACAAGTGATCAAAATACAACATAACTTGTTTAGCATTCCCAACACCCATATACAACCCACATAGTGTCTATGGAGCCTCTAAAGATACAAAAGAGAGTAAAGATGGTGCCGGCAATAAGGCCCCAGCTATACCTCAAAAAGTGACCACAATATAAATAAAAGGTACAATACATGACCTCGGAATAAAATAGGGCTCACCGAGTCTGCTGAGAAGAGGATGCAACACTATCTGTGATCAACACTGTCTGTTATGGAACCACCTGCATCCAATTAAAGATGCAGCGCCCCCGACAAAAGGGACATTAGTACCGTCGAATAACACTAGTATGTATAGCTAAACACCATCTCAATAGAATGAATAATAATACAAGAGGAACAATCAAGAATTCAATAAGGGCTTCAAATAATACTAAAACATCAAGTTAATGATCACATCAGTTTTCAAATCAATTTTCATGTTATTGGGTTGGAAGATCTTTAGTACCGATATTCCACAATTCACAATATCAATGTATTCTTATACGGAGTCCGATCACGACTGACCGACTAGGTTGTCCCACTTGAGACATCAACCATAACCACAATTTCAATTATCATATTCAGCACAGTCACCACCATGTGTGCGGCATGGCGTCCGATCACGGCTCGATAGGCTAGGCTGTCTCACCCAAGACGTTACCTTTTTTAGTCAATCATCTCACATCATACTTCTTTCATATTCTTTCGATTCATTGGCACTAGTGATCACGATTACAAAGTCATTCTTGGCACTTGGCCGTATTTCATAGTTTCAGTTCCCTTTTCCACATTCAAATATCATTATCATTATCAACAACAATAGGGCATCCCATTCAAGACATTAAATTCACATATGAGCAATTTGGGAAATCTTAGGCACATAGAGGCTTTTCATACAATTTTGTCATAACAATCTCTATTTCGATCTTGACATGAAGTCTTAATATTTCTAACACATATTCCACATTTTGAACACATCCTCAAATGGCAAGATGACATGATGAAGCATTTAGAATAAATATTGAACATACATCCTTCAATACAACCACATTAGGAATAGCCAATTCAATAATGATCAAGGACTTACTCCAATTACATGAACACCGTGGGATTCGATTCTAAGAAGAAGGGGGTTTAGCCAACATACCTCAATTGAGCTTCCTTTAAACTCTAAAACGTTCTGGAATTCTTAGTACTTCGATCTATTTTAGAAATATAACAAGTTGGACCAAAATTAGGAAGATGGTCATGATTCTAGCTCATTTGAGCATATTAACAAGCATTAGGTATGCATTAAGGTTTTTAAGGCCCTTTTGTGAAAGATTCCAACATTCCCCAACCCATTCTCTATTATTTTTAGCTCACAACCTTCCCACATCCTTTGATAACACATCCATGCAAGATAATAACTCCCACACCCAAGAATTGTCTTTCAAATTACTCCCCTTTTAGTAGATTTTCGAAATTAAGAGGTAGGGCATAGATTCTTACCTTTAAGAAGAAGACTTTCTTTATTGATCCTCAATGATTGAGCAGGAATTGATGGATAATAGGTTGAAGGTTGCTCCCCCACACTAATCACTCTTTCTCACTCTAAAAATATTAGATTTTGCTCAAAATATGGTCATTTGCGTAGATATAACGAAGTAGGGCCGGGTTATAAAAACCCAAAAATGAAGCCCCGGAATAGGATATGCGGTCGCATATGCGACTGCATAATGGATATGCGATCCGCATATCGGGCGCACAAATTGGGTGCCAAAACTGGAAAGAAACTAACTGGGTCTACGGTCACTATGCGGCCCGCAGACCTGTTATGCGGTCGCATAATGCGCCGTAGAACCTCCCTCCGCAAAACTTCAAGACTGATTGTGCGACAAGAGTGTGGCTCGCGAAACGGTTATGCGGTCGCATAATGGACCACGAAAATGACATCAAAATGACCCAGAAAACTGACTCACTCTGCGACCCGCAGAGTGATTATGCGGCAACAGAATGGGCCACAGAAAAGCTTATTTCTGCTAAATATTTTCTTTCAACTCCCCAGCGCACTGTTCAATTCGGCATCATGGAATCCGGGGTTTTAGGAAAAACTTTACGGGGTCTTACAAAGAGAATGTCGAAAATCCGTGGTTCCACGACATCAAGGAATACTTGGAAAAGGGAGAATATCTAGAGTACGCTACGCACACTCAGAAGCGCACGCTTCAAAGATTGGCCAACCATTTATTTCAAAGTAGAGGAATTATGTATAGAAGGACTCCTTATTTGGGATTGTTGTGATGTGTTGATGCCAAGGAAGCATCCAAATTGCTCGAGGAAATACATGCTGGAACTTGCAGACCTCACATGAATGGTTTCGTTTTGGCCAAGAAGATGTTAAGAGCAGGGTATTTCTGGATGATTATTGAAACAGACTGCATCAAATATGTTCAAAAGTGTCACCAATGCCAGATACATGCTGATATGATACGAGTGCCGCCCAACGAACTCAATGCAACGAGTTCGCCCTGGCCTTTCTCTACTTGGGGTATGGATTTCATCGGACCAATTGAACCCGCTTCTTCAAACGGACATAGGTTCATTCTGGTGGCTATAGACTACTTCACAAAATGGGTTGAAGTCGCATCCTATAAGGCTATAACTAAGAAGGCCGTAGCAGATTTTGTTTGAGACCGCATCCTGAGTCAATTTGGAGTACCTGAGTCAATCATTACTGACAATGCCGCCAATATCAATAGTGACTTGATGAAATCCATGTGTGAAACATTCAAGATCAAGCATCGGAACTCTAAAGCATACATGCCGCAAATAAATAGAGTCGTAGAAGCCGCCAACAAGAACATCAAGAAGATATTGAGGAAAATGGTAGACAATTACAAACAATGGCATGAGAAGTTACCGTTTGCTTTGCTCGGGTATCGCACCACAGTTCGTACATCCACTGGGGCAACTCCCTATCTACTGGTTTACAATACTGAAGTAGTTATTCCCGCCGAAGTAGAGATCCCTTCCTTAAGAATTATACAGGAAGCCGAGCTCAGCGACGCAGAATGGGTACGGAGCCGGTATGAACAACTAGCTCTCATTGATGGAAAAATAATGAACGCAGTATATCATGGTCAACTCTACCATAATAGAATGGCAAGAGCTTTCAACAAGAAGGTTAGGTCAAGGCAATTCACACCGGGGCAATTGGTACTAAAACGGATCTTCCCACATCAAGATGAAGCAAAGGGGAAATTCCCACCCAACTGGCAAGGCCCTTACATGGTTCACCGAGTATTAACAGGAGAAGCACTTATACTTGCAGAAATGGATGGAGAGATTTTGCCAAAACCTATCAATTCGGACGCAACCAAGAGATACTATGTTTAAGATTATGTTTGCACTTCCTATTTGATGTAATTGAACTACGCTTGACCTGATTCCCGTTTAAGAGGGGATAAGTAGGAAGCCTTGTGGGTTCGGTCAAATCATAATAAAATCTTCATTCCCCCTATGGTCAAAACTGGGGCAAGAACTCGAGTTTACCTGATCTCATCATGTTTGGAACCGCCAAGGAATGTATCGCCAGAAGTACGCATTTAAACTGGGGCAGAATTTTGAGGAGAATTCTCAAAATTCCGAGTTAAGAAGGTTGCAATGTCTCAAAAGCGCGTCACAGTCATCAATTCAACAAATTATTTGCTCTCATGCATTATCACATATTTCAAACAACTACATTTTCATAAACAATTTATCAAATTCATGTTTTTCGAAAATTTTATTTCAGTTTGGTGCGGTTATTTCGGTTTTAGGTTAGAGATCCAAGAAGGGCAGCTAGAGTATGGCTTGGAACTTTTAATACAGCAGAGGATGCAGCTCGAGCTTATGATAAAGCTGCTATTGAATTTAGAGGTCCTAGAGCTAAGCTTAATTTCTCATTTGCTGATTACACATCAATTCAATAGCACAATACTACCACTTCAATATCTTGTTCAAAGGAGCAACAACAAGAGCCAGTACAGTTAGAGCAAGGAATTAAAATAGATTTTGGTATTGGAAAAGAAGAAGAATTTTGGGATCAATTAATGAAATGGGATAATGAGATTCAAGAATGCTTGAATATGATGGATTTCAATGGCCATTCTTCAGATTCTACTGGAGGGAGTATTTCTCATAGCTTCTGATGATCACTTTCAATTAAACAAGAATTGGAAAGGAAAGTAGAAAAAGAACAAAAGAATTTGTTATAGACTAAGGTGTTTTTCATGCCCATTCAGTTTTATAAAATTTGGGCTATTTAATATTTCTATTTTTAGATGTACTTCAAGTTTTCTTTTTTTGTTCAGATTGTATCCATCATTGGTAAATGAGAGGCTATAGGACTCATACTTAATTTTTTTTTTTGATTTTTTGGTTAACCAAAAAATTGAAATACTAAAATCGAACACCAAACTTTTAAAAAATATAAATCGCAAACCGATCGAAAAACCGAACAAACCGAACCGTATAAACCGAAATTATCGGTTCGGTCGGTATTATGCCCACCCCTAATGAACATAACAAGCTGCAAATACATACACAGAACAAGATCGCTATCTTCACACCAATAAGAATCGCCAAGATCAAATACATCAAGCTAAGAAATGCTTTACTCTCTCGCAGTCAGTCATTTCTTTTCTTGCATAAGGCTAAGCACTGCCTTCTTTTGCATGAGACTAAACGCTGTCTACACATCGCATAAGGCTAAGCACTGCCTTTCTTTGCATGAGCCTAAGCACTGTCTCCACATTGCATAAGGCTAAGCACTGTCTTTCTTTGCATGAGACTAAGCACTGTCTTCATTTTGTGCATGAGACTAAGCACTGTCTCCACATTGCATAAGGCTAAGCACTGTCTTTCTTTGCATGAGACTAAGCACTGTCTCCATTCTTTGCATGAGACTAAGCATTGTCTCCACATTGCATAAGGCTAAGCATTGCCTTTCTTTGCATGAGACTAAGCACTGTCTCCACATTGCATAAGGCTAAGCACTGCCTTTCTTTGCATGAGACTAAGCACTGTGTCCATTCTTTGCATGAGACTAAGAACAGTCTCCACATTGCATAAGGCTAAGCACTGCCTTTCTTTGCATGAGACTAAACATTGTCTCCATTTCTTGCATGAGGCTAAGCATTGCCTCAAGTATTGCATAAGGCTAAGCATTGCCTTTCCTTACATGAGACTAAACACTGTCTCCATTTCTTGCATGAGGCTAAGCATTGCCTCCATTATTGCATAAGGCTAAGCATTGCCTTTCCTTTCTAGAGACTAAGCATTGTCTCCTTTCCTTGCACGAGGCTAAGCATTGTCTCCATTTCTTGCACGAGGCTAAGCATTGCCTCTATCATTGCATAAGTCTAAGCACTGCCTTTTCTTGCATGAGACTAAGCACTGTCTCCATTCCTTGCACGAGGCTAAGCATGGCCTCCATTGTTACATAAGGCTAGGAATTGCCTTTTCGTGCATGAGACTAAACATTTTCTCCGCTCTTTACATCAGGCTAAGCACTGCCCCCATATCATACAAGACTAAACCTTGTCTCTTCTCGTTATCACATATGACTAAGCATTATATGTTTCCTCTATAAAACGATCGATATCGCTGCATCTTTGCATCTCATGGGCTGAAACATCGCCATATTGTCCGAAGGCGTCATAGTCTGAGGGCATCATCCTTATAGCCCGAAGACATCATGCCATGGCCTGAGGATCTCTCGAAATTGCATATCATTATTCAAAGGCGTCATAGTCTGGAGGCACCATCCTCATGGCCCGAGGATACCATTCCATGGCCAGCGAATCCCTTATCATATACTTCATGGCCCATGACATCATAGTCTAAGGACATCATCCTCATAGTCCAAGGACAACCCTCATGGTCCGAAGGGAATCTGCATCATGTTTAGATTACACTATAACCCCATATATTCGTGTGCATCGTGTTTTAAGTTTTGCAGGTAACTCGAGAGGTAACCGTTTTACAAACAGGAGTAATTCTTGCTCCGGATTTCGTTCACAACGTTTACATCCTTTAAACGTAACTGATGATCAACGGTTGATTACCTTTTAACCGTTTAAATATCTGCCTCGTAAATCTGTAACGTCCAATTTGCATTCATGACCCTACCTAAAATTATCCGTCACTTACGACACTGCCCTACCCAGAAGATCCTTTTGAAACATACGATCACTCTTATAACATCTCCATTGGTTTCGTTCGTCGTTGGATCCAGAACTACACACGGTCTGATTCCCATAACACCAGGGATATGTAGGCAAATCAAGAACCACGGTTCGGTCCCTATTTTTTTTCAGATACATCATTCCTCACTCACTTCAGACAAAATTGGTCATCATTTTCTTTACCCGACAACTCTTTCATCATTTTCGGGTAAAGATGGGCAGCTGTTGATACCCAATTTTTCCCTCATATTTAAAAAAATAGTATATATACTTTCAAAATATCATTTTGCATTATTACTTAATTTACAAGAGTTATACAACTATTTTCTAAAAATTTTATAATTTTTAAAGCTTTAAAATTAATTTTCTTGCATTTAAATTACTTGAATATGTGTTAATTATCCTTTTAAATTATTTTGTGATGACTTAATCATCCAAATTTATTATTTGCATCCACATATATGTTTCATAATATTTTACCTCATTTTTCATATAATTATATTTGTATTTTTGATCTATTTATACAACTTTGCAATAATAGCCTATATGTTGTGCATAATTATATTTTTATTACATTACTTATGCCCAAATAGCATTTTTATATTTTTATAATGTTAAATTATTATTTTCAAGCATCTTACTACTGAAATAATATTTTTATCATTTTGTTAATTACTACATATAAATTATTTTTATAATTTTTATTAATTTAAAACTTTGGCCCAACTTTTGAGTTAATTTCGGACCCAAAACCTAGCCCAATAACCCCAAGCCCAAACCAGACAACCTTTTTAATGAACCCGATTGCGACCCGTTTAAACGACCAGCCCCGTTTTCCTTTGATCCTGACCGTTGATCTCAAATGATCAACGACCCATAATAAATCCTCACCTTTCCTTATATCCCCTCACCCAAACCCTAATCCCATTTCCCCATTTCAGTCGCCTTTGCCTCTCTATTCCTCTCATCTCTCAGACCTAAACCCTAGCGACCTGAATCTTCTCACCCTTTTCCCTCTGCATTTTTCCCTCAAACCAGAGATCTTTTTACCTTTTCTGAATGCTTACCACTCTGATATAGTAATACTAAGTGTCTTTCCATACATGGAAGGTGTATTTCATATAAATCGGGTCCAAATGGGCTCGACCTTGAAGATCTTGTGGGATTCAGGCTAAGTACATCAAAGGACACAGAGTATCTCTCCGATTTGGGTATATTTCCATCGAGTCCGGCTTAATTAGTGTTTGCCTTACTCGTTGCCCTAATTCCGATTTGAAATCAGTTTGCATCTGGTCTTTTCCTTATTCCGTATGATTGATTTTCTTTTCTTTATTCTATATGACTGATTTTCTTTCCTTATTCTGCGTGATTCATCTTCTTTCCATTTTTTTTTATTTGTTATCACCACTATATAAACCCCCTCCCCTGATTCCCTTTGGACGGACCTTAATCACTAAAACATTACTACTATTCTCTTATTCCCGCTTGTCTTATACTACTTTGAGGCTCAATCTCTTGGCCGGCTGAAAGCCAAGGCCACTGGAATTCGATTATCGGACCTTTTTCAGTGTGAGCACTGCCCGGGGTTCATTTGAAACCCTTGGGAACTCTGACGCACTAAGATTCCTGGGTTCTACGGTTCGTTTTGCTATTGACTTTGGAGTATTGCTGAAATTATTCTTCTTGTTCACTTGTTCACTAATCTGTAACTAGTAAGTACCTATGACCCTTGCAATTTCATTCTCTTTTCGTTTAAGTTCATGCTCTGCATATTCATGTCTCTAAGGTTTTATTTTTGTGACCCAACATGCTATTATATACTCTAAAGCTCTTCTTGAGGCTCTATACTTTCTAGTAATCTAACTTGCCTATTTGTTGCCTTGATTCTGTTTTCTTAAGCCAGTTTGCTCTAATGTGTGTACTCGAATGCTTATCATTGTTGCTTATTCTGAGTTTAGCTTCTTGCCTTGTTCTGTGCTCTTGTGATGAGTCGAGTTATGCCCAGAACCTGTTCTAATTCTTGTTGAGTCATTCATGTGCAACTTAATACTTTTCTAGAGTTAACTCCTGATCATTTTATCAGCCTAAACATGCTTTCCCCGCTACTTGTAAACTACTGCATATTCCTTGCCTTGTCATGTATCTTTGTGATAAATCAATGCATGTGTTTCAGACCTTGTGGAGTCATTCCTGTCCAACCTGCTAAGTTCCTAAGGTTGTACTGATTAGCTAAGGCCTGTTTTCCATTTAAGCTCCAATGTATGCTTTGACTTATGCAATCCTTTGCTCTTCAGTATTGTTTTGAGACCTTAGGGTAAACCTCATGCCTGGACTTTTCTCCTATGTATAGCCAACTAGTGCACAGTTTGATGCTTGCATGTCCTGTTAATCTGAAATTGACATGTCGCTTGTTTACCATAAGTGCTCCTGGTATCGACTGATACTTAGCATGTTAAAGTTATCTTACATTCAATTAAGTATTTGTTCATGAATCTATTCTATTACGCAATTCTCACTGGGCTCTCATGTTAGACATTCTATTATGATGCCTTAAGCTTGATTTCTGAAGCTTGGCACTGTATGTGTTCGACCTAAGTAAATAGGCCTATAAGGTTTTCTAATGTTTGACTGTGTTTAGCATGTCACTCCTATTATTTGTTGAATAATGGCTCACGCATGAACTTACGTTGCCTTCTGTGTAAAAACCCCTTGTTGAAGATTAAGCCATGTTGATTCTCCTAGTTATCATGCTCTTTTCTTAATCAATCCTGTCACTCTTGTTTTCTGAAATGCCAATGTTCTTAGACGACTCTGGTTAAGTGTCATATAATCCTGTCCTTATGAGGCATTTCTTTAGGGCTGTTTAATTGATTTTCAAGTGTGGTTCACTAATTAGTTTAAGTGGTTAATCCTTAATTGTTAGGATTGGCATGAGTTCATGATGGACATACTATCCTGTTTGAAGGGCGTTTGGATTTGGGCCTGCTAATCGTGTGAAAGAAAGTATGTTGAAGACCCAACCAGTACTGGGTTATTTTGTTTAGGGCCTGTTCCCAGGCCTGCAGTTGTTCCTTTATGTAATGTCTATACTTGTACTCATTATTTGGGCCTGTAATAATTTGTAATAACGAATAATACGGGAGATTAATGAAAAGGGGTTGGGATATTCTAATATTTGCATGAAAGGGTAGAAAACATGCCTATAGGGTCTACGTGCTTTATGTGCCATTCAACTTGCTTTATTTCTGCACATCAATAGAAATCATGCACCCTCACTTGTACGTTAATCAGACACGATAGTATTTGCCATACTCGTTTCTATGTTACTATTGTGCATTTAGACAGCATGCCTATATGATGTATAACATATGCTTTGTTAACCTAGATACCATGCCTATAGGACTTCAAATAATCAATCGGTCAACCACTTCTATTACGTTTAGTGTACTGCTCATCTTGATATCATGATCATAGGATTCTAATCTTTTAATCAACTACTTCCGTTGTTCTCATTACATTGCCCTGCCTAGATGACATGTCTATAGGAATAAAGTGTTATAAAAATCAAGTCCAATTGTCAATTGTTAGAAATCCTTCCTATAAGATGTTGTCACTCGCATAAGAGATGTTTATGAGACCAACGTTGTTAATGCTGGACTCTCAAAGCTGCTTCATTGCTTAATTATGCAACTATTAGAAATCACGCCTATAGAACAATGTCATCTGCTTAAGACGCATATTTATAAAATCAGCGCTAATAATTCTGAGTTTGCAAACAGTTTACTGCTTCCTCGCCTAAACCATTTAAAGAGGACAATAACGTTGCATATACGATGCTGGAATTCAGAATCACCTAGAAATCATGCCTATAGGACTTTAAGTCTTAATTCTGAAATTATCTACTGCCTATTCTGCCCGCGTGCATTTGTTGTTTATGTGTGAAAGCTAACTTGGGCCTTTAATTTTATTTACATAAAGTCCTATCTGTTTTGAATGTCGCCTAGCTTTCTCATTTTTGAGCTACCTAAGTTGAGTCTAGAACCACCTCATAGTAGGTCCAAAGCCTCGTGGACCATAGGCATGGGACAGGTAGTGCACGCATAGGATACGATTTAGAATTGAATTAGAGTGACTTTAAGTAACTACTTCAACACAATAATCGAGTAGCAGGAGATGATAGTCTGTGCCCGCTGAATAATATGAGCAACCCCCACCTTAAGGGAGTTGCGAAGTATTATTTATGTTGCACGAGGT